CCCCCACCCCCCGCCGCTGCCCCATCCATTTCTACTACAAAAATTTGTCAGACCCTACATGGCTTGCTCTTCTGTACTCATGGATACTGAACCAAATGGCACTACCCTCCAAGACCAAAAAAAATCTGCTCTCATGGGTTTTTTTTGTTTGTTTGTTTGTGTTTGTTTTTGTTTTTTCTTTTTCATTTTGATGAGATTCTATTAGTTGCTTACACTAATTTATTTTTTAAATTTTTTTTTATTTTATAATTTTACATATCAGCCACAGATTCCCCTGTCCTTCCCCTTCTGATCCCCCAGCTCACCCCCCATTCCCATCTCCTCCAGGGCAAAGACTCCCCTGGGGATTTAGTTCAATCTGGTAGATTCAGTCCAGGCAGGTCCAGTCCCCTCCTCCCAGGCTTAGCAAAGTGTCCCTGCATAAGCCCCAGGTTCCAAACAGCCAGCTCATGCACTGAGGACAGGTCCCGGTCCCACTGCCTGGATGCCTCCCAAACAGTTGAAGCTAATCAACTGTCTCACTTATCCAGAGGGCCTGATCCAGTTGGGGGCCCCTCAGCTATTGGTTCATAGTTCATGTGTTTCCATTAGTTTGGCTGTTTGTCCCTGTGCTTTTTCCAATCTTGGTCTCAACAATTCTCACTCATACAATCCCTCCTCTCTCTCACTGAATGGACTCCTGGAACTCCACTTGGGGCCTGACCATGGTGGCTCTTTGCATCTGCTTCCCTCAGTCATTGGATGAGATTTCTAGCATGACAGTTAGGGGTGTTTGGCCATCCTATCACCAGAGTAGGTCAGTTCGGGCTTTCTCTCGACCATTGCCAGTAGTCTATTGTGGAGGTTGCTCTCACGGTTTTGAGATCAAACTAAATCTATTTCATTTTCCCTCCACTGACTTATTTTTTACAGGAAAAAAAAAAAAAGTCAAGTGGGTTGTTTTTCTGACCTAGCTACCAGATGTAGCTTTCTATTCATGTCTCTTAAGAACAAAGCCTGCTTCTCCTAGAGGACCATAAGTGGCTTTTTGAGACCTATGTGGTGCTCATAGGGGCTCCAACTTTACTCTAGTGCCCTGAGTGAAATACTCTGATGGTACAAGGGTATGTGTATAGCTTGCCTTTAGGAAGTGTGGAATCTATTGGATAGCAGATAAATACTTGCGGCACACTGAGGAGGTGGTGTAGAAGTAAGCACCACACTCAGAGCAGATGATGCTTAGGGCCGCAATGCTACCTGGCGATTTAGTAACAGCTTAGTAAACCAATGATGCTCGGTGGAAGAAAGGGATTTGTATTAACATAGTTGACTTCTATCAATGGACCTGAAAACTCAGATTAAGAATCAGTAAAAAAATGTAACCGGAGCAGATTTGGCACAATTCTATTGTATTTCTTATATTAGTCGTATGAAACATAGACTGGAAATTACCAAGGGGTCATGGGAGGTTAAGTTGTATATGAGGTGCCTGTACTCCTAAGAAGTTCAAATCTAAGGATAAGATGAAACTCAAATCATATAATAAAATCTCCTAAGTGCGCAATTGACCTTGAAGTTCAAGCACCATCGTTGTAACTGGAAGTGGGCAGGGAAGGAATTACAGGTCTGAGGTCATAGTTCGTCCCTTAACAGAACATATCAATGTGATTTTGGTTTTGTCAGTTAAATTCAAGGTGCATGTACTGCGTACCTGAATGTGGACCTCAGGAGAGACTTGAGCTATAAAACATGGTATTAGGAGCCAAAACAAACAACAAACAAACAAACAAATCCAAGACAACCAGGGAAGGAGGAAATGATATAATTTCAAAAAATAAAAAAGAGAGAGGGAATAATGTAATAATTAACCTTGTTTGCCTTGGATTTTCCATGCAATAACCTAAGCTAATAAATAGCTGTAATGTTAAGATAAATACCCTTCCATGCCTCTGACCCAGAGCATGTGGCTATTTTTGTGTTATGTGGTAGTCATTTGTTGAAAGCAACAAATAGGTTGAATGCAACCCTACAAACAAATCCACCACAAGTGCTGGAAGTAGCAGTTAGATACTGCTTGATAGCTTTTGTTAATTACCAGGGTCAGTTCAAGTCAGTAAAGTTTCATCCTTTGTAAAAGTCTGTTAAAGATATCTGTAAAGTATCCATCCCTTCCCCCACATCATACTTTTTTTGCTGTTCAATAAATGCAGAATAAAAGCTCGTTGCTAGGGACACACAGACACAAGGACAGATTTACATGACGTCGTTCAGGCAGCACCGACTGAGACGCATACAAGGCAGATTGCAAACATGAAGCAACGGAAGACACATGGGGAGATCTGGGCTCGCTCTTGGGAAAAGATTATTTATGTTAATGTATCATCAGTGCATTTTCAGCACTTTGAGATAATTATTTGTAAACTGTAAGATGTCATTGGAGATTTAATAGCTAGTTGTTGCCTGGACAAGGCCTATATAATATCTGTTATACTATAAAAACTTCATAAATATTAACATTTCTCCAATCACTTAGGTAAGTGCCTTACACAGAGCAGTCATATGTTTTAAATCTAAATTTTATTTTAACAAGTTATATGACTTATGGTTTTTAAAAAAATTGGGATACTTTTAACAACTTTTAATCAACAACTGACATAAAAGGACACAAGACCCATTAGAGCCAGTTCTATTCAGCATTGTACTCTTTACAATAGTGTTTAGTATTTACAATAGTATTTAGTATTTTACAATAGTGTTTTAGCGTTTAGTAGTGAAAGAACGACCAAAGAGCTGCCACCTTCTAAACCATCTTCCAAAGGAACAGTATACAGGTGTTGCTTAATTTAACAAATATCTTTAATAAGAGTAACTGTGAATCTTTAAAAATCCTTTAAAAGTGTTTCCATACAAAATGATTAATGCTTTAAATAGGTTACAATGCTAAACTTGTTCATACAGAAATTTATCCAAGAGTATTGTTTAAATGACACACCGTGTTTGATGACAGCATTTTACTTCTGGGATCATTTGAGTAAGATGAAGTATTTTATCAAAATGAGATATAAATTAGTTACTAGAGCAGTCTTCAAACATTCTTAAAATATTAAACTTTCGTATTCTTAAACTTGTAGCACACACCATGTGTGTCTACATGTGTTCGTGTTTAGGAGTTTGAGCACTTGTTTAAAATTTGATTTCTCATCAACACTTTTATTTTATAGTAAGTTCTGGTAATTTTGCTCTCTTCTTAACATTCCCTGAAAATCCTCCCTTGCTAGAAACAACAGATTAAAACCAGACTGGCAGTTGAAGAGCTGTGTCTATTGCAACCATGTGTGTCAGAAAAGAGGATTGGGTTTCCTTGTCCGAGAACATCAAGGGAACCTCCACCTCCGCAGACACACCTCCACTCCTCAGTAATGGAGAGTTTATACCTAGTTAGATTTAAATGGGATAAGGGAAGAGTTTAAACCCACTCTTAGCTCCGGTAGTATAATCAACCCCCAAGTCTCAAAGTATCCAGTTTTGTTTCTTTAATTTAATTCTAAGTGTCACGTTGGTATGAGATGCTGATCAAGGTAACGGAGAGTTGCCCTACACATTTCTTCACTTAAAGGAGAATTTTACAGACTGCAAAAATTAGATGGCAATTGTATTCAAAACTTACTTTAAGCATAACCCATTCACCTGACCCTTCATATTGAGTATGCTTTTTTTTTTAATGTGGAGTAGAAGATTTCATAATAGAAGAAAAATTGATAATTATGGGAGCACAGCAACAGTTCTCTGACCATGCTATCTTAGTCTGGACCCATTATACAAACAGAAATAAAAGTGATTTGTGGACTCCTACCCTTCTGTGAGATAACTGCCATGCACATCAAAGCATGTATGAAGCTGAAATGACTTGGTCACTGTTCTTTTTCAGCTTTGGATGAAACTGGTCCATAGATAGTACTTGTCACAAACCATCCCACAAATAGGAGAAAGAACACACACACACACACACACACACACACACACACACACACAC